CAAAACTAGATACATGCCGCTGGGATGCGAGCTCTAAACATGCACCGTTCTATGTCACAATATAGGTTGGTGCTCGCAAGCAAAAAGGAATTTGTACCTCAGCTTCCTCCCAACTGCTCCATATTTAGCAAATGCAACATCCGGACCTGTTGAGGTGATGAGCCAGCAATATACCCGAGCAAAGTCAACAGCTTGGAGAAGGAACATGCAACAATTTCCTGCCAAATACTTGGGGCATGTTGGGGCATGCACCATAAAACAAATGTGGAAGCTGACAAGGACCGAAAGGAAGCGTGGTCCCTGAAAAGTCGCAGACTCAAGCAACACACCGCTATTAGTAAAGCCCAGGCCAATAGTGAAGTAAACATTTCCTTTGAGCTGGGTGTCAAGCAAAGATTCTGGAAAAAATGTGTCATCCCCTCTGGGGCGTTGGTTTTCTGTCGCATCGTTCGCCGGCCGCCTGGTCGCAAGGGCGTCGCCTGGCGGCCGTTTTCGGGTCAAGGCCGCCGGGTTGAGCATGTTAAAATCACATCCCCAACACCCGGTCTCATTTTAGAGAGCAGTCGGTGGCGATGTGATTCGTGATGGAAACTGATCAAACACACGGTAGTTTACGGTGTTTTGTGGGTGTGGAGGTGCTGGGGACTAGGCGGAAATCACATCGCAAGGGGCGCCTCTTCTGTAATTTTACGGAATCTCAAGGGGGGGGTGGTCCAAGGGGGGTGGGGGTTCCTTCAGGCAACCCTACGGAACCTCAGGGCTCTCAACCGGTGGTGACTGCCCTGTTTACCTTTCAGCTTCCCTCAAGTGAACAGGCAGCTTTCCATTTCTCAGCAAACGCCAAGGGTGCAAATCAAAAAGAGAGGCCAATGTCCCCAGCGTTGGGTTTTTACTCAAAAAAAGCTGTTTTTTTGATTGGCACAACAGGTTTCTTTTGGGGGACATTGACCTCTCGTAAAGGGACATTGACTCCCTCTCAGCATTGCCTTCTCTAGTTGCTTTTGGTATACCCCTAGTATTTCCTCATTCTTCCCCTAGAAGGTGACTACTAGGGGAGTACCTTTAGTATTGCCTTAGTATAACTCTAGTATTCTCTTGGCGTACACCTGGCATGTCCTTCACTACCCTCCTAGTATTCCATTTAAACTGTCCAGGAAGAGCAGGGGAATACTAAGGGAGTACTCTTAGTCTAGTAGTCCTGAAGTGTTATCTTAGTATACTCCTAGTATTCCCTGAATATTCCCCTAGTATTCTCATAGATTCACCTTTAGTATTCCCTGAGTACTCTTTTATGGTCGCCCTAGCAAGGAAACTAACAGAACTCAGACAGGTTGAGCTTAAGAGTATCCCCTTAGTATTCCCTGAGCATTCCCCTAATATTCTCCCTTAGTATTCCCCTGACGCTCCCAAAGTATTTCCATCGTATTGCCCTAGCATTCCCCTAGTAATGCCCTAGTATTGTTTTAGTGTTGCCCTAATAAGAGACGAGGAATACTATGGGCATACCCTTAGAAAAACCTTGAGAAAACCAATATTTCTTGTAGAAAACCAAAAGACCTCAAGAAAACCAATATTTCCTATAGAAAACCGGAAAAAAGAAAAAACTCGAGGAACAAAAAAAATGAGGGAAATGTTTGGTACGACAGACTTGGTGGCACCCAAAGCTCAAGAGATCTCAAACCGGAAAAAAGACCTCGAAGAAACCCAAACAAACCAAAAAAGCAAAAAAAACATTCAGACAAATACTTCCGGCAAGTCTGCCATACCAAACATTTCCCTCATATCTTTGGGTTTTTCCGGTTTCCTCGAGGTTTTTTTCGGTTTTTTGGGATAGAGGCTTCCCCCAAAAAACCCAACGCTCAGGACATTGGTTTTTGATCAAAAATTCAAACCACCACTTCGGGGGCACCTGAAAAACCATTACTCCCCTAAAAACTAACAAAAGGGACCAAAAGGGGGGGGGGGGGGGAGTCCGATTCCAAAATTCCAGGCCAATCTGTACGCGAGTAGTTTGCCACTAAACAAAGTGGTTGAAGTCCAGGAACTGAGGGAGTCAGAATAAGGTCATCAGTCCAATGAACATGTGGTTTTAAAACCTCATGAGCAAGCACAGGCGGAGCCCAACAGTTGCACTTTCTGCGGGTTGCAAGAAACAAGGAAGGAGAACCAAGGAAAAATTGCCGGTGGCCTTTTTTGTCAGGAGCGATTCGCGCAGTTTACACCCTTATATGACCCCACAACTGCAAAACCTTCTGAACATCAGTGCCTCATTGTACCAACATAGGGCCGCCCCAATGACTAATTTCTGACTTTACCCTTGCCACTCACACCCGGTAGCGACCGAAACTATCGTCCCTACTAGCCAGCCAGGGGAATGATCCCTGCTAACAACCTTTGCTTCAACCACTCATCCTTGAACTGTCTTTAGCTTTCCTGGCCTTCAGCCACTGGGGCACCCTTTAGCCCGCCCTAAGAGGCAACATTTGAGCGTTTGTTTTTATTCCCTACAAACTTGATTGGACATTATTCAAGCTTCCGTGGACCCTTCCGCATCCTTGCCGCGGGCCAAGAGTTCCCTTCCGCGAACCACGAACTTCCGCGGCACATGTGTTTCATTGTTTGCTTCCGCAAACCTTCCGCGGCGCATGTTTAACAACATTTGCTTCCGTGAGAATTGGCGCAGAGAGAGAAAATCATTTAAGTAAGGAAGGAAAGTAGTGTTTCGCCGCAGCCTGTGTAGGCTTGGGCGCCATTGAGCTGCCGGTGCTATCTGGACACTTGCCGGCAAACACGGGGCCGCCCTTCCGCGAGGCTTCCGCGAACCTTCCGCAAGCCTTCCGCGAAATCCGCCGGCTGCGTTTCTTGTACGCAGCAACACTTTTCTGCTCCTAATGCCATCTCCACGCACGCAACACGGAAACAATTAATTGAGAAGAGCCACAAAGCTTCCACAAACCTTCCGAGAATCCCTTCCGTGAAGCCTTCTGCATGCTTCCGCGCGTGTGGCGGGGTGCACATTTTCAAGAATCATGTCCCTCTCCCTACTAAATTAGCTTGCGGCCAACAAAAAAAAAAAGCCGCTCATTTGGAGGATGCCGGAGCCAACCCTGCCAACCCGGCCAACGCGCCTGCAAAGCAGCCGAGCATGAGGGGCGTGAAGGTGGCGGTGGCATGGGAGCTGGCCTTGCGGCCGGAGACATGTAGACCCCAAATAATTCTGGGCAAGCCATACGCCAAAAATCGTCGGTTTCTTGGGTGGGGGTCTGGTGGTGCAACCTTTGATAAAGCCAGGGGGGGGGGGAGGGCAATGATGCCATCCACCAGTTTGGGCATGGTAGTTCCAAGGCAATCAGCCATCAATTGGCACGCCTCCCATTCATTATTTTGTATTGGAAAAAGGAGCTCCATTCTAGGGGTACCTTCCCCATTCTTTCCAGGCATCCTTCTTTCTAAACCATGGGGAATGGGGTAGACCCAGGAAGAGTTTCTGGGGGTACCCCTCCCTCCATAAGGAAGGGGGGTCAGCATCCTCCCGCAAGGGGATAATCTAATATCACGGGAACTTTGGGAAACATGGACCACAATTACACGCGTGGATACCTCTTTCCACATCTTACCACCCTGGCCCCTGTGCGAAAGCAACCTTGTCCCTCACAGGGGGAACCCTGCAATCCTTGCCGCCATTTGCCAGGGTGGTTGGGTTTGGCTGGTTCATGCGCAGCATTTCTATCAGGCAACGGATGCCATCGGCTGAGGCATTTCTCTGCCACTGCTGTCTTCCTCATTTTGCTGGCCCAAACAAGCCCAAACTTTCTGTTTGCTCAAAGGGCCTGTCATGATTAAATATGCGCCAAAATGGGAAAACCAAAAGGTCAAAAGGTCGGCTTTGAACAACTGAGAACATAAACCCGAAACGTGACTAAAGTCCGAAACTTCAAAAAGTGAGACGGACACCAGAAAGGTTCTCAAGTTGGAGCCTTCTTCTACCCAGCCCGCCAGCCCCCTAGGCGGAAGTGGCCGGCGCTTTGAGGCGAGCGCCCAAATCCAGTGACTTTTGGGCTCTAAGTTGGTTTGAAGGTTCGTGTGGCCTTACAGTCAACCCCGGGAAGAAACAGCAACAAAACGGCGGTCGAGCCACCTGCCACGGCCAGGGGTTGGGGGCGCTCGGGTGACGGCCCGCACGAGGCTCCCAACAATATTTTGTTGACGGGGTGTCTTCTTTTGGGTACCCACCCCTTCAGGGATGCTTTGAAAGGGAAACCAAAAGTAAGGACACGCATCGTTTTGGGGGACCCCGGAAATGACGCACCCAAATGGCCCCAGCTAAAGAAGGATGTCCAGAAACTCGCGAAGCGCTTTTTTTCGTGGAGAACCCACCCGCTGGATTTGAGTTGAGGACTTCCGCGTGTGGGTTGTTGGGCCCCCGCGACCGCCACGGCGCTGACGGGGCGGTGCCATTCTGACCTGGGAAAAGTTCTCAAGCTTCAGCGTCCTTCTCTTGGCTGTAACGACCCCTCTGCAAAAAGTCTTCAACTTTGTGAGGGTCCAACACGGAAAATCAGACCTCTTTCAACCAAAGATCTACAGTCCAAAGATGCAACCAAATAGCCATAAAGTTCTAATTGGCGTTTTGGATTGGTGGTCTGGAAGCTAGGGCGGAATCCAACTCTCATCAAACATCAGGGGTTCAAACACCCAAACCACCACTCCAAATCACAAAAGGTTGACCTGCAAGTTTCTGCAAATTTAAACTGGGGACCCTCTGGTGGGAATTCGTTGCCTTGCAAGTGCCAAGGGTTCACGAACGCGCAAGTTAACATGACCACACTTTTACAGGTCATGTCAGCTTCCCTCTAAGTGCTGGCTTGGTTTGGTGCTTTCGTGCCCTCCACAAGAACCAGGGGTTCATATCCGAATCCCAGCCATCCAAACCACCAGCTAAAGGGTATACCTCTTCCCGGGGACTCTGGCTGCTTTTTTTTTAAGAAAAAACACACACATCATGTCCCCGAAGCTTGGGCGCTTTTCGCCGCGGTGCCATTCTGACTCCCGTCGGGCTCGGCCATGCGCGCGGCGGAGGCCGCGGCTGCCGCGAGGACGGGCACCTGAATGCTCCCGTGGCTGAAGGGGCAAGGAATCCTTCGCTGAAACAGCATCCAGAACCCACGCAGTTTGCCTAAGCTACCTGGTACTTCTCGTACTCCCCCCCCTCAAATACAAGTGTTACAAACCGAAGCAGCTGAAGCAGAAGTACAAGCAGGATGGTGAACGCCTGAAGGGCAAGCTGGTTGGCCAAGATTCGAAAAAAATGCTTCTCGAAATGGGATTCGGACTGCCCTTTGGTTGGAAGTTCAAGGGAGGCCAAGAGGAAATCAACCGCTGTAGGAAATGGCCAACGATTTTGAGAAACACACAAGAGAGTTGCAGGCACCTGAAGACCGGCGGCAGCCAAGGTTGACCCTTTGACCCTGAGCCTTTGGCCCTACAAGTCACGAGAGGAGCGCCAGTCAAAAAAGGCAGACACGTACATACATACATACATATGTATATATATATATATACACTTTATATATACATATTGTATATATATATATATATATATTGTATATATTGTATAATATATATATATATATATGTATAAATATATTGTATATGTATATATATATATATATATATATATCCACAAATTTCAATAGGGAACCCCTTCAGAAGTGGCTGACAGACATACATCCCCACCGAGATGGCGTCCACCAAAGAGTTTCTATTTACAATGTATACCTGGAAACTGAAACACACATTTATACATTAATGGGTCCATCAAGACAGTCTAGTCACAGGAAATGGTTGTTTGGGAACTCATGCTGAAATGGTTGTCTCAGGTTCCAAGATGTTCCAAGAACATATGTATGCATATATGTATGTGTGGGTTTAACAATTTGGGGTGGTTGCAAAGAGCAAGCAAAAAGGAAGCTGTTTATAGCAACTGAGCAGGGTAGGTGCGGTGGATGCCTAAACTATTGCAACTCTTGCCTGGAAACCGCCTAATTTCCCACAAAATGCCATGGATTTGTGGTTGAGTATGATGGGTTCACTTGCAAAATGGGATCAGGGCATCCACTGTACTTTTCTTTTTGCCTTGGTTTAAAGGGACACCAAAAACACAACCACCATTTTGTCGAATTACCCCCTTTTTGAGACAAATGCAACAACACATATAGATACACATTATTTTCATGATTCCAGTCATAATACTCACATAACTTACAAATATATGAGAACATGACCATGCATATGCATATGTGTAAATATATATGTGTGTAACCCCATATCTATACATACATATACAATTATAATATATATATATATATATTATCTATGTATATATATATATATATATGCATGTGCGTGCATGCAAACCCAAAAAACAAAGCGCCGGTCTTCGACCCTTTGACCGCCTCCACCTGCAAATCCTCCTCCGCCGCCGCTTGCGCATAGGCCGCCGCCAGCGCCGCGTAGCCCGCCGCCATGGCCTCCGCGTCCAAGGCGTCCAAGGGCCGCCTGGCGACGGAGTCGCGGTCCGTTTTCAAACCCTCCGCGCTGAGTGACGAACTCGTGGGCGAAATGGATTTTCCAACCTCAAGAAAAGATCAGGAAAACCTTAATAATTGGTGGCTTGAATGGGTAAATTTGGATTTGATGGTAAAACTGGTACCTCAAACTGGTACACTTAATTGGCAATTTGGGGATTTGAATTTGAACCCCAGTCTTTTGATGGTGAATGGGAAATTATTCTCAAATCAAAGCACCAGCTAGAGGAAAGCTAACCGTTGGTTTTTTGCTGCTTTTAAGCAGGACCTAGGGTCCGCTTGCCCCTTGCGCGTTTTTTCTTCCTAGCCGCACACCGCCCCATGCATTATCATGCATCAGGTCGCAGGTTTGGTCGAAACCTACCAGTTTTACCTTGGTTTTGAGGGAAGCCCAAAGGACACGTACCAGGTTGTGGCCCCCCCAAATGTGGCCATCCAGGTGTCTAATTTGGGAGAACCTCCCCAACCTTGGGGATGGTGGCACAAAGGGTTCTTTCCTGCAGACCGCTGAGCATGAACAGAACCAAGAAAACTAAAAACAGCAAACCAACATGCTAACAACAGTGAAGTCTGCTCTGCGGATTAGTATGGAACCCTCAAGCAATCCGAATCGCTAGAAAAAAAGCTTTCATTGAGAGGGCCCTGGTTTGCGTTCCATACTAATTTTCAGGAGAGTATTGGCCCAAGAAACTCAGAAGCCAGTGATGCACAAGCAGAGTGGTGGACAGGCCTGTGGGAAGGACTGTCGCTCACGCGCGAGCACTCAGTGAGAAGTGAGCGGGTTGATGCAACACAATGGTTTCCACAGCTTGAAGCTAGAGGTCTAATGTGGCATATAGAGCCTCTGAATGAGCAGCCTCTGCATGTCGTTTGTTTGGGACTTGGGATAGCCTAGGATCATACATCACTGGTATGTTACACAGGGAATGACGGACCTTGGACAGTCCGACTTGGTCAGAATGCATGCTGAAATGTCAGCTCCGACCTTTCGGTCGAATGCGCCTTTGCCCACTGGGCCTTTTGAAGCGCGGTTACTCCCAGGGTTCTGGGAAGATACTTTTCCTGGTGCCAGGGAACCTCCGCCTTGAGTCTTGTTCAGATCCAGCGACACTTGGCCGAGTTTGGTCATAAGACAAGGTTAGCCCAGTAGACTGTACTTTTTGGGGCGTGGGGCAGGTTTCTACATTTGGAGCCAAGCCCAATTAGCCTCTTTTTTTGTCCGTGCAGCAAGGGGGTCTGTTCGGGGTCTGACTCAACCTTACTACGGGAATTTGGATCATTTTCCTTCAAACTTTGCATTCGGCTCACCCGTTTTCAATCTTATAGGCACCATGTAAGCCACCGCAAGACACTAACTCTTGGAGTAGCTATGCAAACAAGGATGCCTCTGTGTACGGTCGCTTTGCCTAAGATATCTAGGGCACCCACCGTACAGCCTAGTACTGACTATATTGGTATTTAACGGTTACCGGATCGTGAGGACCGTGAAGTGTCTCCCCTTGGGGCTCGGCAACACCCTGGAAATCCACGCAGCCCAAGGGTATCTCTCTGCTCACGAAACCCACGGCAAAGGATTCGGTAAGCAACCCGAGCAAAAAGGTCCTCAGACCTTTGCGGGTTCAACGGAAAATCCGTTTGTTTCCAAAAGGCCTGTGCAAGAGTCCAAGCAAAGTGGTTAAAACGACTCTCATTTCCCAAGACAAGGAAGAAAGGCGCCTTCAGGGTCAGACCAAAACTTGGGTTGCTTTCTGCTCCCGCGCTTAAAAGTTCTACTTTCGGTGGTTTAATACGGAAAACCATTCTTTGGCAAAAAGTTGAAGTCGTAACATCCAAGCAACATGCACCAAAGAAAACTCATAGACCAGAAATCTTCGGTGCTGTAAATCCCCCAGCAAAAAGTTTCACTTTTTGCTGGTTGAGGGGAATCCAAAAAGCTAAAATCTAAAAATCCAACCCAACAGCAACAGAGTCAGGGTCAGACAACAAATCATGGCTTCGGATGGTTTCCACACGGCGCCTCTGCGTCGTCTTGGCAGCGGCCCGCAGCTTCGAGGGCCGCGGCGCGCCCTCAGCCGCGCCCGCCGCCGCGGCGTCGGCAGCGGTTTCGGCGGCTTCGGCGGCTTCGGCCGGGCGCTTGCCGTTGACGTTGGTGGGCTTCTCCTAGCGACGGACGGGCGCTGAAATGTATTTTTGGAAGTCTGGGTGAGTTGTGATATTCCACCAGCGTGAAATATGTTGGGAGGCTATTCCCCACATAAACCACCATTTGGGGTGAGGTCGTGTGAGGTCGCTATAATTCACCCAGTTCAAATGGGATTGGCACATACTCGCTGAGGTTTGGTTTTCGCTTGGCTGCTCTTGAAGACAACACTCCCAATTGCAGATTCAATTGTGGGTTTCTCCATCTACATTAAGCGAAGGGAAACCACCTATGGGGGGGTCCTGAATTGTCCAACGCATGGATTATTTTAACGGATTTGTCTCCAACATGAACTATGGAACCAAAGCACTGCGTTGTTTCCATCTAGCTTCCCTTGGACAACCCCAACAACGGTACCCTCAAAAGACCATTCATGGGCTATCCTTCAGGTTAACCTGAAGCCTAAACCCCTCTTTTGCAGAGAAAATGCCTCCAAAATAGGATTCCATGGTGGCAGGGCAGGGTGCAAAGGCTCAGAAAGCCCCAAATACCGCTAAGCAAATGAGTATCCTTCCTGGGCAAATAACCAAAACTCATAACAGGGTTCCCCCGGCTTTATAAAGGGGGTCCGCTAAATCAGCAAGTAAAACATGTCTACTGACCGGCGCAAAAGTATCCTTCAAAACCAACAAGCCAAGAATAGTATTGTTGCACCTGGCTTAATATCGGTAGCCTGAATTGTGTCAAGCTTCCTCGTCTTTTGTTTGACCTCCCCACCGATTCGGTACCGTAGTTGTGTCACCCCCTTGGTGTGACAGCTTGCCCCTACTTGTTTGTACTTTTGTGTAAAGAAGTGATCTTAAATTTGAGGGTTTGGGGACCACTTCAATAATGGAATTCCTAATGCTTGCCCGGCTTCTTCGCCCTTTTTATTTTGGCTGCCTTTTTTGGCCCGTGTTTTTTTTCTCTGGCAAAAAACAACTGGGGGGCCACAAGAGGCTCTGATTCTGTTTAATGTGACTGTTTTGGGGGCGTCGCTTTAATGTCCAATTTGTTTGAGGGGTTTACTGAAACTCCAAAATTAAAGCATTAGCTGTTTACTTTTACAGGGTGGTGCACCTAACCACAAAGGAGGGGGGTGCCCGCGTGAGCCAGTGATCTTATTTAGTTTGACACTGTTTGGGGAGTCGTTTTGGCTGTCAAGCTTTTTCGGGGTGGGTCAAATCTGGCACTAAATTTAGACTAGGCAATTCAAAAGAAACTACCGGGAATCTGTGAGTAAGACTTGGCAATACTAAATTTAGACTAGGCAATATAAAAGTAACTACCGGGAATCCAACAGTAAGCCCTGGCAATGGTAATTTTAGACTAGGAAACACTCAACTAAGCACTGGGAAGGTAAGTATGTCCTGGCAATACTCCATCTAGACTAGGCAATATTACACTAGGTTCTGGCAATACTGAACTAAGTAGTGGCAATTCAACAGGAAGTGCTGGCAATACAAAATTAAGAATTGGCTTGAGTCATCCAAGCTCGTTGCCAAACCTTTATTCAGGGGCCCTGAGCACTGTTTTGGCCGTTTGCGGGGGGAGAGAGAGGGGGTCCTACGGTATACAAGGTCCAACCACATGTCCAACATTAACTAGGTCATCCAGTAGAGAGGAGGAGAATGAGGGTACCCTTTTTTCTGTAGTCTATTTTAGTGGGGGAACCCTCCCCACAAAAAGAGTAAAAGGGCCTAGTTAAGCATCCCCTCTCCTTCACAATCTTCCGCTTCTGCTTGGGCCGCGCTTGCGGCTCGCCTTGCGGCACGCCCTGCGCTGGGGATGGCGCCGGAGCAGGTTTGACCGTCGCCGGCGTCGTCGGCGGTTTGACCGGCGCCGGCGGCTTCTTCACCTGGGTCCAAAATGGATGGGTAGCTGATGTCAACCGGGAAACTCCTCAACAAAACTGGTTGACGTTGGAAGGGGAGCAATCATTTCAAAATGTTAGCAGTTAAGTGGGGATTTCCCACTAAACCACAATAAGCAAATATGTAAAATGCTTCCCAACAACAACTATGAAAAGAAGGAACAAAAGCACAAACCCACTGGAGGTTTGGGCAAAACTCCCGCGAGGTCCTCCACGGACTGATGTAACGACAAGCGGCTTGCTTTGTGCCCTCGCGGGCAACATCTCGGCTGTCCTGAGGCGCAAAGGCCGAAAGACTCCACAAAAAGTTGGCGAGTTTGATAACTGAAACAAGCCATGTTCATTTTCGGGATAATCGGTTCGCGTCTGAGTTAGCTCCTTGAGCTGCCAGGTGCCTTTTAACGGGCTTTTGAGGGTTCCCCACACCCACACTACTTCCATTTGCTTAAGAATATGATATATTTTCCCTGTTGGTTTCAAAGCAGATTGGTAAACCTTCTAATTTACCCAGGGGAGGGTCTTCCCAAGTTCGAAGTCCCCCAAGTGCAGCAGCTTCAAACAGAAGTCCAAGCTGGAAATCACCCGAGGGCTGAGAAAGCCCTTCACCGCGAGCCACTCGCAGAAATCCCATGGTTTCTGCATGCCCCACGGTAGCATCGGTTTGTCCCGGCACGCAAGTGGGTGCTTTCCCTTTGGTTTCTCTTTGGAAGTGGGTAACCTCCAAAAAAGAAAAAAAGGAAAAAACAAAACACCCCAAATTGAACACATGGTCGACTTCCCAAAAGAGAACCGCTCACCGGGTTTGCCATGGAACCAGGCAAGTGATGGTACACCACAAACCGATGGACACGCCATGCCGCCAGGGCACCGCCACAGTCTTCGCCACAGCTTGCCTGGGAGCTTCCTTCTCCTTCTCTTTGGCCGCGGCTTGCTTGGGCTTCACCTGATCCAATTTATCTCGGTTGCCAAATCTGCTCCCCTGCTACAAGTTTTAAACTTTTAGTGGTTTGATACGGAAAACCCATTGGTTGGCAAAAAGTTAAAGTCCTAACATCCAAGCAAGATGCACCAAAGCAATGGGTGTGTCACATCAATCAATCAACGGCCCTCCTCCCTCCCAAAAACGACGAGAAAGAAAACTGGATATTGGCTTCCCTTTAAAAACCGGCACCGAACTTCAAAAAAGACAAACCCACCTGTAGAAGCATTGCCTCGAGGAAATCAAACGAGGCTGAATTTTGTCTACAAATCTCCACCCCCAAAGATTTACACTAATTCCAACCCTAAAGTAAGCTGGGCTGCCCTCAGATCCCCCGCGGGTTCAATGGAAACCGCCACTAAACACTAAAAAGCTGAAAGGCGAAGGAGCCGGATGGCTGGGAGCCACCAAGTAAGCATTTGACCTCCAGGTGCAGAGCCTCCAGTGGGCTTTCCCTCGTCTTTCACCCGAATGCCGGCAGCCAGTTGCATGCCCTAAAATGGGCTTGTGTCGAAACAGTTTTCAACAATTGCTCATTTTCTGAGTGGATTCGTCAAACAAATCCAGACTTTGTATTTACCACTAAGCTGAATTCGTCAAAAAAGCTTCAAGTCCAGAAACTCTGGAGGTGAGATCGTGGTGGTCTGGTCCCGCTTCAAGGGTGAAGAGGGCGACACACACACACACACACTCTCAAGAACCCACACACAAGGGCACAAAGACACAGAGACGCAGAGAC